GAACCGCTCCTTGCACTCATAATCACCCTGCTTTTTAAAGTTACGTTTCCTAAACTTAGGGCTGACTTAATTTCTGTTACTTCTTTTATTTAAGAATGAGATCTTAAAAAAAAAAACCAAAAAACACTTATTTTCAAGAAGGTGATGCCCCCTCTATATATTTTAATAAATCAAAAGATCTTTATTGTTGTTTTGATATGTTATTTGACTTATGGGATATTCCATTACAGATCCTTTGGTATATAATTCATTCTGAGACACTCAATATCTGTCAGATTTTCCCATGAAAATTAGCCCCTTGGAAAAGTCATGACACTTTTTTTTGCATAGAAAACTAAGTCTTGACTTTCCAGAGGCCCCAATATATCATGCAAAGAAGATCTTCAGTTGAAAGGACTTGCTTAGAACCACAGGCGTTGGCCGTTGTCGTAGAAGCAGCTGTTCTAGTATCTGTGTCCAGAGGGGTACAGTTAGGCATCCCGTCTAAATGGACCTGCAGTCCCGTTTGCACAGAACCTCTGTGAGCAGCGAAACTGCAGATCGCATATTCATTCTGCATTGACTACGCACATTCAACTTGTTCATTTCTTCTTGAAATATTACTGAACTGAGGTGTTTCTAACAACTTCGAAAGATCGCAGTGAACCAAGGGAGTTTTATGAACATGTTCCTTTCTTTTTGACTCCGCTGTAAAACCTTTAGCAGTTCTCCTGCAGTGGTGCCAGTTTTACCTCGCCTGTTGCTCCAGTTGTCATTAATATTGGTATTTCCCACTGTATTTTCTTCGTTTATTTGTCATTTTTAAGTACTTACAAGATGAACCCAGGCAAGGAATGCTTGCCTTCTTTTCCCTCACACTCATTTGTTTCTTTCATATGAGAGAGAGAGAGAGGGAGAAAGGAAGGGAGGGAGGAAGAGGGAGAGAGACAGTGAGCCCCAGTAGGGTCTTGTCCTGCCTCCGGACAACCTTCTAACCAGCCTGGAAACTGGTCGTACCCACAGGCACACCCGGTGTGTTCAGGTTGACCTGGGAACTGAACCCAGCACCTTTCCATAGGGCTCTAGCATTTCTCAGTGGTGCCCTACCACCTGTGCTGCCATGTCTGACCCTGGGATTCCCGACTTTTATAATAACTAATATTAGTGTTATAGCTTATATGTGGGATCTTCAGAAATTTCATGGAAAATGTGTATTATGAGAAAATTATACAAGGATTAAATTTTCTTTTCTCCAAAGTAAACCTGTACTTAATTTTTTCATGAGCGTTTTAAGTTCCTTTGTATGTGTGTTGTTTCATATCATACTTTTTGATGATAGCACTAAACATAGTACATATGTGGGCAGTGGACTTTTTTATTTTAACCTTTCCCAAATTTATATTTCACCTACAAAAGAATAGACCTTTCCAGTATCTTTTTCCATAGTAAGAGTCCAGGAGTCAAAGGCCATCCTGGTGGTGGTTGAGTGTCCCTGAGATTCGTTTTCCTCAGAACTCTTGGCACCAATGGTGTCCGACGACATGAAGAATTTGAAACTTAAATATGAAATAGAGTTCTAGGGTTTTGAAAAGTTCTCCTGATATTCAAAGAGTGTTTGAGAGTTTAAAGGTTGGATCTGAAAAATTGTTTCCTTGATTGGGAGTTTAGGTTTGAAAGTTACGGGATGGGTTGTTAACTGGCTAAACTCTGTTCTAGATTATCTAGCCTATTTATTTGAAATGTAGCCAGTATATTTAAGTTGTGCAAGAAATCAGGGCACAGATACAAGTTAGGCATTGTTGTTTATTTTTCTAAGTCAATAACGTAGTTCGTTTTGCCATGGAAAAGTAATCATTGAAAACATCACACCGATAGCCTGTATAAACTTGCTTAACCTTTAGCAAAATGGCATTTTTTTCCAGGATGCTGGCTGGGTGATTACGTACAAGGATGTTTGTCGATAGTCCATTGATTTAAAACTTTTAGACAAATAGAGGGTGTATAGCGTCTACTTCTTGGGCTGTCCTGTCGCATGTCTTGGTTAGTGAGACTCTTCATTTTGAAAAGTTTGAAACCAGTTAGGTTATCTTTCAACCCAAGTCTTCCAGCTTTAGGGAACACATGTTTGGTTTTGTAAGAATGGAAGATTTAGCTAGGTAATCAGTTCCTCTTAGTTGTGACATGTTTTGGCCTGGCTTGACTGGTGCGTATTAATTACCTGGTGTGTGTGTGTGTGATTGTGCAGAATGCACACTCATCATGATGAGAGAGCCCCCAGTGACCAGTGAGTGGGGACACTGTAGAGTTCTCTGATGTTGTCATGACTCAATCTTGTAGTGAATCTCTGAATATGTATAAGTAATTGGAGAGGGTAGCTTTTAATTTAAAACCATAGCTTCTTTAAGATGTCAGTCAGGGGACCAGCAGATGGCATAGTGGTTACGTCACTGGACTTCCGCATAGTCGACTGTGGTTTGAGTCTCAGACCTGGCTGGTTAAAACTCACACCGGGCATGTGTGTGTGCATACCCAAAATCTGAGAGGAGAATGGAAGACAAGGGATTGCGACATGACCATCCACAGTGATTTCTCACTTTCTGTTTCTCTGTCTCTCTGACAAGTGCATGTACTCTATAGCAAAAATCTCTCTAGAAAAATAAAAATAATAATAAATAAAAAGAGATGTCAGTCAGTCCTGTCGTCTAGGGTGGGAGTGGTGGTGTGTTCTAGACAGCCCTCAGTGAGAGTTTGGTGGTGGTGGTTGCAGAGGGTAAGGCCTGTTTATGAGCTGGGCCCACACCCACCTTCCCCTGCCCTCCTCTGTACTCTGGTAAGAGAGAACCCTAAGAGCCTACTGCACACTTCCCATTCTCCTCTGGGAAGGTCGGAGATTGTACAGCAGAAGGGCTGCCTCACTAGGACCTGGAGCTTCCGGAAGTTTCAGTTCAATCAAAAGCTGTGTTGATTTGAGTGTGATTATGAAGGTGTGGCAAGAGATCGAGCAGGGAAATTTGTAATTCCTTCATTTTACTTTCCAACTAAAATATAAATTCCTTGAGGCCAAGAACCATGTCTTTCCTGTTCATTCACTCATAGACAGATACATAGAAAGAATGAATCTGGCAAACAGTAAGTGGTCAGCAAGTATGAACTGAATGGATGACTTAAGATGATAGCAAGACACGATGTTTTGACTCCGACATGCCATGTATTTGAACAGGGAGAAAACTTATGTTTGATTTTAATTTTAAAAGTCATGTTCTAATCCTTGGAAGTGTATGAAATGTTCTATTAGAAGGAGTAACTGAAATACTCAAAAATATGTGAAGATAGGAAGATTTTTAGTGTGCAGTTAAGGGTTGTTATATTGCAGATAACAGAAACCTATTCAACCTAGCTTAAGCAAAAGTTGTCGGTGGGAAATGAGGGCAGGGTTCCTGGACCCCCTGGAGCCAGCCCTGGGAAAGCACGGGGAGCCAGAGCTGTGTTGATCTCTTTCCTCTCTCCTGGGTCCCTCTCCGTCCGCAGTGCCCATCCTGTGTGTCTGCTGGATACTTCTCAACTCATAACACTTTACCAATTTCAATTATTTTCCCGCAGAAATGGCATAGTCTACACATTACTTTTTATTAATGAATTAGAAATGTGGATGATAGACGTATTGTTTTAGAGTCATTTTGAGCCAATTTCTTTCTTTTGGAGAGGTTTTTGCTATAGGGCGCGTGTGCTCACCAGAAAGACAGAGAGAGACAGAGAGACAGAAAGCGAGAAATCACCCCCCCGGGGGGATGGCCACACCGCAATCCCTTCTCCTCCATTCTCCTCTCGGGATCTTGGGCACGCACGCACATGCGCCTGGCGTGAGTTTAAGCCACTGGGTCCAGGACTCGAACCACAGTCGACTACATGGGAGTCCAGCGACATAGCCATTATGCCAACTGCTGGTCCTGAGCCAATTTCTTTCCTGGGTGTGTCACTTGGAATTTGTGTAGGAGGAGGGCTTTATGTAAAGAATGACTACTATTGCAACAAAATAGCGATAGTCTATATTTCCCTTTCTTTTTTGTTTTTCTTGAAAAGGAATTACAGTGAGACATAACCAGGTGGACTTCTTTCCTTAAGTCATCTCAGACACTGCCCCCAGCCTATTCATTGTTCCTTTCCAGGGGACAGGAAATGGTTATAATTGTGCAAGTTACACAGTCTTAACTACGTTGGGTCAAGGAGCCAAAGAGATCTCTGACCTTTTCTTCTAATATTAACCTTTCAATTCCACAAAGCAGTGCATGATGCACGCACCAGGTTACTGGAGGACACTTACTAAAAAACGTAACTTATTTTGTTTGTCAGAGTGACTGCCTGTGTAGGGGTACTGAGAAAAGTGGCTACATGCGATGAGAATGCTGGGGTTAAGTCTGTGTAGTTTTACTTCCTCCTTAATAGCCTTTCATACTTGCAATCAAGCAGATGTTCTGAAGCTGGTCAGGGGCACCATTACTGCGAAGTGACAGTCCCCACTCCCTCACCCCCCAGACTTCCCCTTGCAGTCTGTTTCATAAATGGATTTTCTTCCTTTTCTAAGGTTGGCACTTGGCCTTCTCTCCTGCCACCCATGCCTGTTGCCTGTACCTAATGCCCCACTGTCTGCTAGGTTTTTCCTTACAAGTGGTATTTTCTCTTTATCTGTTGGATGATTCTTTAAGCATTATAATCGGCATTTTGCAATTTGGGCAAAGCTGAAATATGCTGTATTTCTACGTACTTCTTTGTTCTACCTGACTCTTAAAATTAGCTTGTTCACTCATCCATCCATTTGTCGACTCACCCTCTCATTTTGACTTCTTGTTATGTCCTCAAGGCTCTGCAACACCTAGAGAAAATGCAGTCTTAAGTAAAGAAGTCATTAATAGAGGTCAGAATGAGATGAGGCTGAAGGGGTAAATGAAAGGCAGCAGGGTCAGAAAATAGTTTTTATCTTCTGAAAGAGAGAGTTTTTCTGTAGGGCCCATGTACTCACTAGAGAGACAGAGACAGAGAGTGAGAGATAATTCCCCAGGGAGGATGGCCAGGCTGCAATCTCTTCTCCTCTATTCTCTCCTATGGATTTTGGGCATGCATACACCTGTGCCCGGCGTGAGTTTTAAGCCACTGGGTCCAGGACTCAAACTGTGGTCCGCTATACAGGAGTCCAGCCACGTAATCATGCTGCGTCCTGCTGGTCCCAATAGTTTTATCTTTTGAAAGCATTAGTTTTTGGTGGCTCCTTTGGAGGAAGTGAAATTGCTGTATGAGCTAATGTGGCAAAATCACATTGAACACTCGTGGGTTAAGATTTCTCTTTTGAACGATTCGTTATCTTTCCTTGTTTGCTTCTTTCTTTTGCTGTCTTCTACATTAAATTCTTTTTTCCTTATTAAATACTTCTGAAACTAGTCTTGATTTTAGTGTGTTTTTCTTCAAATGTCTTACAGTCCTTTAAAATGTTTAATAATATACATTCTTGGCCCTTTCTAACAGTCTCTTTGCCATTTACATCATCCTTCCCCAGCCAAAAATGTCCGTCCAAAGGCTCTGCTTCTCTGTGACTTTATCCTCCCGGTCGGGTTCTTGCAGTTGTCCCTGCCCGCTCCTGCTCCTTCTCTGGACGCTTTTCTTTAATGGTGATCTCTGCTTTGGAATTTCCACTTGAGCTTGTTAAACTCTTTGGGAAAGAGAATTCCGCTTTCAGTTCTCCCTCTTCTAATCTCGAAGACTGAGCACAAGCAGGCCTCCTCC